ATCAAGCATGACTTAGTCATTGTAAATATCATGATTTTCATGAATAGCCTATTTTTACTTTTAGATGATTGCGTAGACTTCGGACGTTCTCATAACGGTTTTTTATCGTTACTTTCTCCACATTTACTCCTTCCGAGCATACACCTATTGTACATCAAGTCAAAGCGACCTCAGAAATGCCGGGCTATTCACCTTATACATCATGATTTTAAGAGTTTCCCATATACAGCACACATGCAGTTAGCCAACGTAAGCGACAGTAATGGGCAAGGGAGCCTCAAGGCGAAGCCGGGACTTATGGAAAATGCCTAAGGAGTTTTTTTACTGTCTGCCCCCCCCCACACAGTTCCATTACTGGCAACGCCACATGTTCTGCATCATAGCTCTGTACAAAGAAGAATTTCAAAGGTATTTACCCATATTTCCCTGATGAATTGAATTGAACATAATCATTTTAAGATGTGCTCATATACGGTTTGCGTACTTATGGGACAACAACATGTAAGGAAGCCCAAGGCGAAGCCGGGCTTCCGCGCTAGTAGATGATATAAGTCGACCCTCTTCCGACTTGAATGTCAAGCTGTAAATACGCCTTACTTATTGGCGACGGGTGATTGAAACTGGTTCGAGCATCTACGCGAATTGCACAGAGGTATGTTAGTCACTGAACTAACGTTCACCTCCAAGTGAGTGAAATGTTGCGGGTGTAACGGAGGTTGACGACCGTAAGCCCTCATCTCTGTAAGGCAAGTCACACACACACACAAGCCGCCACCGCTGACTCGCCTTAATGAGTAACAAACGAAAGTGAACGGCGTTCGCGAGAGAAGACTACTCACTAATAGTTTTACGCGATACGGCAGTGGATTAAAAAAGGGGCACGTGCCCTCCTCCCATTCCGACCCACCTTGTCTTTGTCGGTAATATATTGCTATGGCTACTACTTCTCCTCCTCCTCCTCCTCCTCCTACTACTACTACTACTGTTTCTACTACTAATAGTACTGCTAGTAATACTACTAATATTTCTACTACAACTACGGCTGATACAACTTCTTATATGAGTGCTACTATTCCTGATACTTACACTACTAGAATTACTTTTACTGCTATTACAACTACTAACATTCTTGTTGCTGCTGCTACTACTACTAACACTACCACTAGTTCTACTAATACGACTGTTATTACGAATAGTATTTGGTAGGAGTAAGTCGTAGGGCCGGCTTGGGAATTCGCGAAGCGCGCCCCTCAGTCTCACGAGCACCCGGCTTTAGGGGAGAGGACGGACGGGGTATGTCAGGGAACAAATCAGATCGCAATAATCCTGTATAATAAAAAACCTATGAGAGTAAGTTGGGGCGC